GAGGGGGGGATTGTAGGGTTTCAAAGCACTCCATGGATGATGGCAATGGGCCCCTTGATGAAGTGTAGGTTAAAAGCCCAAGACTTGTCTTTTCCCTATAAATAGTCATGTATTATTCATAATTAGGGTTAAGAGTGAGGCAAAATGTAGCCGCCACGTGAGGTTTCTTATGTAGTGTTAGACTCTTTAGTCTATGCTGAAAGTATAATTTATTTCTCTTATTTGAATAAATCGAGTGATCATTCGACCTAATCTTCATTTTTGTGTTTGTTCTTATTTTCCGCATCTTGTTCATCAAATCTCAATTAGGGTTTTAATCCCAACAAAAAGGTTTACATTGTTTAATACATAGTTTTAATCATATCAAAAGTAAAATGGTAAAGACGTGACTCTAACGCTCCGACATCTCCGAACTCTTGGAAGTACCTGTCTACTAATTCCCTGAGAATACAAGCAGTTTTGAGAATATCAGCATAAATCTGGTGAGTTCATAAACATTTAGTTTTGGTGGAAAAATGTTCTTTGATCCTTTTGAAAAGTGTTCCTCCAGAAAATCCTATATTTTCTTATGAAAAGCATGTTTGAAAACCCATTCCTACCATGAATTCCAGGTTCGTATAGAATATGTACAATCCAATGAGTCGTGGAATGAATATGGATATCCGTTGGTTGTAAAACAATCCGTTTTGAATAGCCGGTTTATCCCGGGAAAATCCAATATTTTCCCTGAAGGTTGAAGGTTGATTATCCGTTTTAAACTGAGGTTTGCAAGTATCTACCATACTCGTGTATATAAAAGTAGTTTTCTTTTAAAAACCCTGGTTACACCCAGAGAAGTATATTAGTCTTAAAAACTAAATAAAAGAAAACCGTGATGAACTAAGTCCTGAAGATGTTATTATTAATACCCTCCAGTAATTAAATCGGTTATTACTTTGAGGTTAGATCACTTGATTCATTATTACAAAAGTAAATCTCTGCTACCTAGGTTATGAGTTTCATGACCATAACTGACTGGATATGGCCCGCAACGGCCGATATCCTTAATGACTTTGTCACCCGCAGACCTGCCGGTCCAACTGTAGCTACTAGTGAGGTGCGGGATTATCAGTCCCGTATAGATCTATACACAACAGTCACGCTCTCCCTACAAGAGACTATGGTCACGAGTGCTAGTCCTACACTATGTTTCTTGTGGTGAGTGTTACCAAGGACGTGTCTCAAACTTAGCCTAGCAAATTTACAAGTAATAATACTGAAAAATCTTGTTTATGCCTTGCACGAATCCTTTATAAAATAATTCATTTTACTATATGATTCAAAAGTTCATTACCCTAGTTTAGAAAACTGTTTCTACGTGTTGATTTCTTAATCGGTTGGTAAAACTGTTTTCCTTGTTAAAAGCATACTGAAAATATAATTATCTTTAAGCAAAATAACATATTTTGAGCACAAGTTTCCTTATGCTTTTTGCTTGTATTCCCCCCTGAAAACGTTAAAAACACAGAAAATGTAGGGGTATGAACTCACCTTTGGAAGATGTTTCGAAGGTAGATTCGCGTAAGGACAAGAAGTTCCACAACTGAATTACCGAGACACAACGAGTCCTAAATGACAATTAGAGACATATATAGCCATGAATATAGTGTTTAGAATCAACTAAATGCAAGGGGAACCCCCTTAGGGACTAGGAGACACTTGAACCAAGTGTTGGAATCACATGTGATTCACCCAAGGGAAGTGTACGACCCATATGAAGTGTGTGCGGTCGTGGGTGTGCGGCCAGGTGGCGTGTGCGGTTGCACACAGGAGTGTGCGGCCGTACAGAGGGTGTGTGCGGCCGTACACAGGGGTGTGCGGCCGTACACCCTTCATGTATGCTCCAAGAGTCGATTTTTCAGTGTTTTAAGGTTCAAACCAAGTCCAACTTGAAGATAGGGAATCAAACTCTCACTTTGGAGGTTCTTTGAGGTGTGTACGGCCACCTTATGAAGGTGTGCGGCCGTACACCTTCATGTGATGAAGAACATGATGAACTTTGATGATTAAGGGCTTAGATCAATGGGTCCTTTATGTATGATAAGCTAGGTGATGGAAAACTCACGTTTTTTAGGCCTTGCTAGTGTTCTTGGATGAAGTTTTTAGAGAGAGAAGGTAGAGAGAGAAAGTAGAGTGCAGCCAAATGAAAGGAATGAGTGAAGGGGTCACCCTATATAAATAGGGATGAGTGTGCGGCTGGAGGATGGGTGTGCGGCCGTACACTCATGTGTGCGACCGTACACTCATGTGTGCGGTCGTACACACCTTCCAAGAGGGTGTATGGCCCGGTTTTCTCACTATGGGACGTGCTGACTCATTCCTAAACTCAACCTTGGTCAAATGCAAGCTTAGAACACTTAAACGAACCCTCAAACAGTGCCAGAAATCAACAAAACATGTTTAACTTTGATTGAACTGACTAAGTGTGCGAGATAAAAGCTCCAGGTTGTCACATTATATATAGCTTGTCTAAATGGGAGACAAACTACAATGGTCGAACGAGCAAGTAAAATGTTTATTAGATACGTGTATCGAAGAGGTCAACAGAATTGGTAGAAAAGGAGGTAGCATGCACAAAGAGTCTTGGGTTACGTTAGGGAAAGCTCTAAAAGAAAAGTTTGACATGGATACTTCACAAAAACAATTGAAAAATGCTTTTGATAATCTAAAAGCTAAATACGTAGGGTGGAAATATTTGAGAAACAAGTCAGGGAATTTATACAATGCTCAAACAAATTCATCTGCCTTAGTGAACACAGAATGGGAAGAATTCAAGAAGGTGTGTCTATATAATTTAATTTTTTTAGTTTATGTCCAATTTTAATAATGATGTCAAAATACTTATAACTACTATTAATCTTGGTTTAGGGTCATCCAAAGGCAGGATCATTGAGGACACACCCATTGCCTTATCCCAATCTTGTACATCTTTGTTTGATGGAAGTAGTGCCAGCGGTAGCATTAAATGGACCTCTACTCAAACTACACCCGCAGATACATCGTCTTCTTCTCATCGTGTCCAAAGACTTCTGATTGATGACAACCCTTTTAATGGCCTAGAAGATGATGATGATGATGACGCTTCCAATGACACTAGTTCTCGAGCTCCTAGTGATAAAGCTCATGGTGGTTCTACTTATAGGCCCGATAAAAGGGCTAAAACCACTGATGCTTCTACTGATAGGCCTCATAAAAGGGCTAAAACCACTGATGCTTTTACTGATAGGCCCGATAAAGGGGCTAAAACCAGTGATGCTTCTACTGATAGGACCGACAGAGATAAAGCCTCTAAAACCTCTGTTAGTCTTGATGAGTTGAGTCTTGATATGCAAAAAGCTTTGCAACATTTGGTGAATAACAAGGAAGGGCCAACAGTAGAAGAATGTTATGAGAGGTTGAAGCTAGTTGGATTAGACCCAATGGATCCTATATTTTTGGCAGCCTTTCACCTTTTTGGAATGTCCATGAATATGATAGAGGCATGGATGACATTGCCACCGATACCTGAGATCTTAAAAGGGTGGATAAAGATGACTGGCACCACATTAGGGATGTTTAAGTAGTCTTTATGCTTATGTTTTTTCTTTTATTTTGAACAGTTATGTGTTTCTTGAACTTATGTTTGACATTATGTTTTTTGCTATCATTTGAATGATTGTGTACTTATTTGACACAAATATTGCTAGTATTGAGATTATATGCTTATTTGAAACAAAATGTGTGCTTTGAATATGATAATAATGCTTATGTTTTTTGCTTTAGCATATTGGGATTTAACAAGTGTTGATGGTTTAACAGGTTCACAATGGATTACGATAAAAAGTTACGCCTCCTAATTGTTATGAATTTGTATCTTCGCTTTTTTTGGAGAAGAGGTTTGAAAAGAATGCGAGATAATACCACAAAAACGTCTGGGCATCAATTCACATTAGAGTTATTACATGGAACTAATAACCAATGCATTGAGCTCTTACTTATGTCACGTGATTCTTATGTTCGGCTTTGCACACATTTTAGAGTAAAAAGTTGGTTAAAGGATAGTAAACATATATCGGTTGAAGAGAAGATGGCGATGTTCTTGATGATGATTGGTCACAATCAACGTTATGTAATCATCAAACGTAGATTTCAACACTCAAAACAAACGATTCATAAATATTTTTATGAAGTATTGGATAAAATGATGGTGTTCGCAAATGATATAATAGTACCAACTTCCTTTAATCCAAATCCAAACGTTCCGGGACATAATAGGAGGTTACGAAGGATTTTCAAAGGAGCGGTTGGTGCACTTGATGGAACTTTGGTACATGCTATTGTCCCTCTCGATAAACAACATTTGTATAGAGGAAGGGGAAAAGGGGATTGTTATCAAAATGTATTGGCAATATGCGACTTCAATATGATTTTTACGTTTGTCGTGGCTGGTTGGGAAGGAATAGCACATGATTCAAGAATATTATCTGAAGCTTTAACAGATCGACATGCACCATTCCCATTTCCACCGCCAGGTTTGTTTACATTTTCATTTTAATATTTCTACTTTTTTTTAATTAATTATTTCCTTATATTTACATATAAGTATTATCTTTGTGATGCCGCGTATACACACACCCGAGGATTTATGGCTCCTTATCGTAATGTGCGGTATTGGCTTGGAGATTTTCATCGAAGACGTGCATTCACCAACAAAGAAAAATTTAATCACTCACATGCAAAACTTCGAAATGTCATTAAACGTGCTTTTGGTGTCTTGAAAGCACGTTTCCCTATATTGAAGAGAATGGCTCCATTTCCATTTGGTTACACAAAGAAACATCGTCATTGCATGTTTTGTGCTTCATAATTATATAAGAAAAGAGAGATTAAGTGATGAATATTTTTCTCAATATAATCAAGTCGATATATCACTTCAAAGCAACAATGTACAAGATAATGAGGAGGAGGAGGAGGAGGATGACATGGATGAGGTACAACCACACGTAAGTGCAAGAGACCGGGAATATATGGTTCATCTACGAGATCAAATTGCTGACTAGTTAATGCGAAATGTAGAATGAATGATTTCATAAAAAAATATGTTAGTTTTGTGAATTTAGTTTTAATATTGTAAGACAATCATCAAAACAATGCTTTATGTTTTTAAAAATATCAACTTTAATAAGTAAGCGGCCTTCCGGTTTGAATCGAAATATATATAGTTTATCTAATGTTTTAAAAAGTATTATATGTTTGAAACTGTATGAAATTGTTATTGGCAAAGTTTGAGTCAAATATAAATTTTAATAGACTAGTAATGTATGAGATGCTGAGTTTTTAGCATTTGGGCTTTGGTTGTTTCAACATTAAATTCAAAGATCGGTTTTGTTGTTGAATAATGGAAATTAATGCAAATTGGGTGGCAACGTGTAAGTATACAATTCTTATTAAGAAAAATCTAATGTGTTTTTTTTATGTTGCTTTTTCATATTATCTAATATTTTCTTACAAAATACTATAAATCTATTAAATTGTTCGTAAATATTATTAAATGGATAGGTTTTTCAATTTATTAAAAACCAACGTGAATTATTCATATTTTAATATGAGAAAAAAATATGGTTAATTGATCTCCTTCATTACCACGCCTCTTAAGTTTTAGTTCATTCTAATTAAAAAACAAACAATCTTTTGCATTAAGACTTTTTGTATGAATACATAAAAAAAGACTTTTAGTCCACATCTTCTTCCGCAGACATGGAAAAAGACAAAAGACATTTGACCACTTCCAAAACAAACACCACCTTAGTCATTTTGGAGCAACCTTATCCATCAGGGGATTACTTCTTGTGTAAACACATATGCTAATCTGTTCATTAACTTTTTTACTTACCAAAACTCATGCTTCCATATCATTTCACACTTAACTTCCCAATATCTTCTTATCATCTCTATGTGAACCAAACTCTTTTTGAAATAAATACAACTTGTAAACTACATTTGGTGATAATTTGAGAGCTGTGACTCAAATATCTTTATATGAACAAATATCATTATATCATCAAACACTTAAAGAGAAAGATGTTTTTATGACAGTGTCACAATGGGCACACGCTTTGTTCGACCTGTAAAACACGTGTGGAGAATAGGTGTCCAACATGCAGACAAGAGCTTGGTGATATAAGGTGTCTTGCATTGGAGAAAGTGGCTGAATCCCTTGAATTCCCATGCAAATACTTCCCACTTGGGTGCCCTGAGATCTTCCCATATTACAGCAAGCTTAAACACGAACTCATCTGTAATTTTAGGCCCTACACCTGTCCATATGTTGGATCCGAGTGCTCTGTTGTTGGGGATATTCCATTCCTAGTCACTCATTTGAGAGATGATCATAAAGTGGACATGCATTCCGGATGCACTTTCAATCATCGTTATGTCAAGTCCAATCCACGCGAAGTTGAAAACGCCACCTGGATGCTTACGGTTTCTCTCTCTTACTCTCAATGGTTATTATTTTTTTAATTTTCAAACCACTCAGAGTGTGATCTATTTGACTTTGACAGGTGTTCAACTGCTTTGGGCAATATTTTTGTCTGCACTTTGAGGCATTCCAGCTGAGCATGGCACCAGTATACATGGCATTTGTGAGATTCATGGGAGATGAAGAAGATGCAAGAAACTACAGTTACAGTTTGGAGGTGGGAGGAAATGGAAGGAAGCTGATTTGGGAGGGGACACCAAGGAGCATTAGAGATGGATATAGGAAGGTGCGTGATAGCCACGATGGTCTCATCATACAGAGGAACATGGCTCTCTTCTTCTCTGGTGGTGAAAGGAAAGAGCTTAAACTCAGGGTTACAGGCAGGATTTGGAAAGAACCTCCTAACCCTCCTGATGCTGCTGGAGGACCTTGTGTTCCTAATCTTTACACTTAGTTCTAAAACTATTCAACTTTTTCCTTTTTCCTTTTTCTTTTTCTTTTTCTTTTTGGGGTTGGATTGATTTCCTTGGTTTCTTGTTGATTGTTTATTTTGTGGATGGATAGAGTGGCCTTCAAGATCTTTATAATATTAGATCTGGTAATGGGATGATGTTCTTTGTTTGTGTGGGAGATTGTATTTTGGAATTGTTGGTGATGACAATCTTTGTTGTTCCATTTGTTTCTATATTTGTATAAATACAACGACTTGCACTCAAATTTGCAATTCGTCTTTTGATGGTCGCATTTTTTTTGGTTTGGGCTTTTGTTCTAATGTGAGGAAAGTTTAACGAATTTGATAAAATCATATATAGATTGCTATCAAATTAAAATACAATTATAGAAGAGTAAATTACACGAATGGTCCCTATGGTTTAAAGTAATTTGCGTGTTTGGTCCCTAACTTGTTTTTTTAACTAGGAAGATCCCTACTATTTGTTTTTGTTACGCGTTTGGTCCCTACTGTTTGTTTTTGTTACGCGTTTGGTCTCTGTCTTACCTAAAAAGACTATTATTTTAATAGAGAAAAATGGTGTGGTAGGTAAGGTAAGGTGATGGGGGTGGAGTTGGGGGTGTGTTTATTAAATTAATTAAAAAATCAAGGGGGAAATAGTGTTTTTAGGTAAGACAGGGACCAAAACGCGTAACAAAAACAAACAGTAGGGACCTTCCGAGTTAAAAAAATAAGTTAGGGACCAAATGCGCAAATTACCCTAAAGCATAGGCACCATTCGTGTAATTTACTCATTATAGAAATTGGTAAGAAACATATTTTATTATGTAAATTTATAAAGTAAAATAAAAATAAAAATAAGGCTAACATTCAAATTTGGTCATTTGTGGTTTGCCCAAACCCCAAAGCCTTAATTTTGGTCCTAATATTGTGATTTGAGCATGGAAGGTCCACTGTTTGGTAACAGCTTTGGTGCTTGGGACCGTTAAAGTTTGTTAACCACAACCATTAGCGATGTAAAAAAGATTAAAGTTCCCTCAAGTATATTACTAAAACCTAACTTGAAGAAGGTGTCGATAGACTTCTTCTTCCTCACCCATCTTATTGACTCCGATAACTTCATTCATTACCATCATCAACTTTGATGAGCGTCTCCGTTACCACCGTCTGTTCTAGCCACCTCTAAGTTAAGATATGCTAAAGGCCCGACGTGAACACCAACAGTTGCATTGTCCCTTCTTCAATTTCGAGTTTAGAATTATCCATCTCTTCTTTAACTTTGCATACGATTAAGTAAATAGCTCCTATTTGCTGAACTGAAACCGAATTACATTTATGGTTGGTGGGATGATATTTCGATTACCATTGAAATAGAATTACAAGCCATTACCACCACCATCACAGACACCACACTATCATCCCACTGTAATTATATCCACCATGTAATTACAGTTTCGATATATTGAAATGGAATTACATAGCTTTGATATATTGAAATAGAATTACATGCATTTTAGGTGTGGTGATGGTGGTTCATTTTATGTTATTATAGGTTAAGTTTGGAAATTAAATTTCAGGAATTGAAATCGCCTCTGTTCCCATTTTAGGTTTTCATATCATTTATGTTTCTGAATTGAAATCGAGTCATGTCGTTTGTGAGATGAAACATAGTTGAAGTGTCCAACAACTCAGTTGGGTATAAAGAATCCTATTACCGTGCCAATGCAATTTCAGATTTAGGCAAAGGTCAATATACATTCTGTTAGAACTACGTTCTTTTAGGATCGTATGATTCTATGCAAGCTATAGATTATGATCGTAATAAAGAACACAAGAATGGCACTGAATACGTCGTATGATTAATGGTTTAACACCTCAGAAGAGCTCGATAAAGAACTTCAACTGTAGAGGTGTTTAGGGTTACAAGTAATCAACGTGATGATCAACTCTTGATATACGCATACATGCATGCATATTTATAGTATAACCCTAATAGCTAATCTAGATAACAACGAAACTAATCTAGATAATCATGGATGGACATGCCCAATCGGGATACAAAACTTATGGCCCAAGACGCAACACAAATAGACTCAACAATCTCCCCCTTTGCGTCTTTGGAGCCGAAACTTCATTCCTTCTTAACAACAGAAGGCTTCTTCACAGTTTTGAACACCTTCGGTATAATGGCTAACAGATGATGGCGAAAAGCAATGTACCACCGAAGCATGTCAGTAAAGTTCTTCTTATCAGCCGTTGAGTTATGCTTGCATCAGTGTATGATGTTGATGATATGCTCCAAGCAGTCTGTTGAAAAGAGATGCTTGTCAACCAGAGCAAACAGAAACCTGTGAGCTTCACCTTTTGTGAACATGGCAGTAAGATTTGTTGAATCTATCTGTCCCATTTTCATCTTGTTTACATCACCAGGTTTAGTCGTTGTCTTCACAGTCGGCTTCTTGTTCATCACCTTTGCTATCTCCTGATCCATAGTTGCAATTTCATGGATATAGGAGGCCAACATTCGCTTCAGATGTTCTAATATAGGCTCATACTCCTTAGGATTAGAGAACAGAATGTTGTACAGCAAAATCCAATCATGAGGATTGAGATTGGGAAGATCTGCTAGAGAGATGATTGACACCGTGTTTGCTGAACCACGAGTGATCTTGAAACTAACGTTAGTAAATCTCCCAGCAGGCGAAGGTTTTAGTACCTTGACTGTAATAATTTTCTGTGCGCTCCAAGTCAAGTACTGTGGTTGACCATACTTCAAGTAGAAATCAATCAATTCCCTGTCAAACTTCGGGTGAGGAAAAGGAACCTCAACAGTCGCCTCAAAGCAATGAAACGTAAAAGCTTTCCTGGTAATAGGCATATCGAACTGCGAGTCCTTAGAGTTATCACAGTCAAACGAAGCAACTGGTTCCAACCAATAAACAGAAGGAAACTCAATCGCCTGATTGATAAGTGTCTCTCTGGTCCATTCAGGAAACAAAGCCTTCTTGCATTTCAAGGCATCCTCTTCTTCTTTGTTTTTCCTTTCCCTCTCCTCTGCTTCCTTAGCCACTTTCATCGTTTCATCCAGGTCTTTGTCTCTCTTCTTTCGTTTGAGATCTTCGGCTATGGTTTCTTCAACGTCACTCTCTCTTTCATCATTAATCTCCTTTGGTTTTGATTGAGAACCAGAACCTGAAGCTAAATTAACCTTCGGTCCTGTTGTGACTTTCGGTTGTGCACTTTCTGTTTTCACAATCAGTCTCGGTTGAACAACTCGACGAGCACTACTCTCTCCCCCTTGTTTTGGAGGTACGACCCCCTCCGAAACACCTTTCATTTCACTTAATATGGCAATAGCAGGGAGGAGTTTGGAGGTAAGATGATTGCGAATAGTAAGAGTCAGGATTGGATCATGAGCTTCAATCAAGTTTGTCAACAAATCCTTCACGTCACCTGCACAGCTTTTATACACAGCCCTTTGAGTTTTTAACAAAGAAATTTCTTTCTCTGCTTGAGCCAGCTGCACCTTTTGAACATCAATGGTTGCTTTATGTTTAGCCAGATCCTCCTTCAAGGCACTCTCAGTTGCCAGAGCATCAAAACGAGAATCCACTGATTGTAAAAAAGAAGTGGTCTCGGTTTGAAGCGATGAGCGTACAGCTTCGAACTTAGTGCTCTCATCTTTAAGGGACTTAGAAAAAGATTCCACTGAGGATTGTACCTTCGCAGCATTGGTGTCAGCATGAGCTTTCAACGAATCAAGGAAAATCTGAGTTGTGTGAACAACCTCAGTAACCTCTGCTGCGGCCTGTTTACAAGTAGAGGTAGACTCATCAACTGCCTGAGTAGATTTGTCAATGGCCTGTGTATACTGCTCAACAGCTATCTCCAAAAAGGCTTTGAGAACTACACCACCATAGGCTTTGCTGTCTTCAAGCAATCGATCCAACTTTTCATTTATGCCCTGTATATGTTGACTTGTGACAGGAACATCAGCATCATCATCAGTCGGAATCATGTAAGGACTGAAGTAGGTGGAATCAAAGTCCTCATCGTCTCCCCCAAGAGTAGCACCAGAATCAGAGGATTTGGTTGGTGAAGGAGGTTTGGTGATGATAGGAGTTTCCGTGGCAGTAGTAGCCCCTGTATCAGATACATTGACTTCCACTGTGGGGTTGGGAATGGTATCGGTTGTGGATTGTGTAAGGATTGGAGATGATAAAGGAATTGTGGAAAAAGGAATAGAAGTAATGGGTGGTGGTGGTGGAGTAGTTTCTGAAGTTGTGATGGGTGGAGTTACAATAGGAACAGAGAGAGGAATAGTATGTTTCGGTGATTGGGGTGGAGTTGGAACTCGGTTGTGATTTGGAGATTCTGGTGGAGTGGGTGAACGTGGAGGAGTGTTCTCTCTAGGTGAGACATGACGAACCTCTTCTTCCGTACTCTCCTCATCGTCTTGTTCTGAGCTTGGAGGAGTAGGACTCTTAGACCTGCGAGCCATCTTCTTTATCTTCTTCTTCTTCGGTTGAGAAGAATCCCCTTCACCAGACTTGCATTTTGTAGACTTAGAGGACTTGGACTTTTTGTCCTCAGTGGGTTCTTTCTTGGAAATTCTCTTTCCTCTGTTGTTAGGTTTATCCAATGCATCCAGGGCAGCCTGCTGTTCTGGAGAAAGAACTCTCGGTCCGGTAGGAGGAAGTTTCCTATAGTCAGCCATAACAGTGCTCATTTCCGTAACACCACGATACATCGATTCAGGAATAGATCCATTATGAGGGAACTTGATTGGGTCCGAGAGGATTATCTTCTTTGTGTGGAAAGTAGCGATAGATGCAAGCAAAGCATCCTTCATAACAGGAATCGCCAAAGAATTGATTGCTTTCCTCGTAATTAAAGTCCAAAATCTTCCACAAGAGACTTCATAATGCCTCGTGGATGTGTTGAGACTCTGCACCACCTGAGACCAGATTATAGACCCATAATCGAGATTGAGCCCATGGTAA